CTTCTTCCATGCACAGGTGCAGATGAAGATTGACCACAGTCTATTTCAACATATATCTCAATAAAGTTTTGAAATTTTCGGTCCACAATTGCATCTATGACACAATCCACATCTTCATCATCACATATATCATTACCAATGTAGAATATAACATCCTTACCAACTGTAGACTCTACCCTGGCGATCATCCGTTGAACGCCATGGCTACCGTGTAGCCCCAATTTTTGGTGAATCCTCCCCTTCAGCTCATTGTACGTAGTGCCCCATTTGATTTTCAACATTTTCGTTTTTCCTTCAAATTGAACACCGTTGGGGCCTTCATAATGCTTTCCATCATAGTAAATCATGGTAACATACATGTTTGGACTTGAGCTCATCTTTCACACGAATTTTGGGGGTAGGAATCTGATTTTAGGGTTTTGGGTTCGAATTTGGGGGAAACAATTGAAAAATAAAGGAAAATGACAATGATTTCACAATTACTATGCCTTAGAGGCGGTGGGATGAAATGGAAGGGTGATTGGAAGGTTCACAGCTGACAAACAAGAGAAAGAGACCAAGAGAGGAGTTTTGATTTCGAATATAATGAAAATGAAACCAAGAGAGGTCTGGATATAGGGTTTTCCGCGATATTTAGTCGACTAAATAATGTGCTTAGTCGACTAAAAGTGCAAACAATGTAGTCGATCAAGGTGAGTTTTTAGTCGACTAAAATCCGCGTTTCATGATTTCTGAGTTTTGCCCATTTAGTCGATTAAAAGTGCAACTTAATCGACTAAATGGGGGCAGCATGATGGATAGTTCTGGGGGAGGGGCAAATTGGTTATTAATTATTTAATGAGAGGCAAATTGGACAAAAATTTTCTCCTGTTGTCTCTCATCGAATTTCGTATCTCAGTTTGTTTTACTAAATGGCATACCTCACATGTTTTATGGATCAGGGGGAGATAAAAAAACTTCTCTTGCAACACGAAAAGTGGTTATTCCAATCATTTATGTTCAATAACTACCTAAACATTTGTGTTAAATAATAGTTTTATATTCAAAATAATAGTTTGTCATTTTTATTAACTTGATTTACACAATTTATGTAAAATATATTTGCACAATAAATTCTCTAATTAGGATGATTTTTATTCAGAATTCATGTACCAATTGTTAGAAAGGATTTTATTATAATTGTAATATTAAGATTCTTGATATTACCCATTAAACGTTATATAGCCAATTAATTACTGATACACTTAATCTGAATCATTGATTTGATTTGATATATGATGGACTTACCAGATTATTAGTTATGGAATATATATATATATATATATTAGGAATGGTCCTGTCTCTCCTTCTACCCCAATGTCATTTTCTCCATCAGAATACATATCAATGTAAAGAAGGCTTAGAGAGAAACTATCATAACACAATTGCTCACAAGATGATGACTGCTGTTAATCCTTCATCATTGTTTCCGGGTATGTCTTTATCTCTTATGTGTATGTGAAAATCATGTATTTCCAAGATCCTTTATCATGTTCTTATTTTAAGATTTATGAACATGATATATTATACAAACTAACATGTGGTATTGCAAGCCTAGTGGTGTGAGATGTGTGTGTTAGGAGTGTGTGTAGTGTAGGGTGTTGTGTTCAATTCCTTGTAACCTCCAAAAAAAACTAACATGTGGTATCAGAGCAAGGTTTAGGAATTCATGTTTTTTCATGTATGATTATGAATAGATTTTTTTTTTTTTTTGGTACATTATGAATGGATTATTGATTTTTGAAAAATGAGGGTTTCTAAAATTTAATTTCCCCTTAATGATTTCAATATAATTCCATGAATTTATGTTTCTGATTTAATGCAGTATTTGCCGATTTTTTTTTGGCCCATTTACCTAAAGAAATAAATAAATTAGACCAAAAAATTTAATTTAAGCAGGTTAGTAAGGTTGGTTTACAACTTAGAACACCTATATAGGGGTGGTAAACTAACATAGGTTAGTAAGGTTGGTTTACAACTAAGTTAGAACACCTATAACTGGGCTCACATGAACTTGTGGATCTAAATAGGAGGTGAGCAAATTTTGTTTTGTTTTCACTTATTTTCGAATCCGTTTTATATATAGAATAAATTTTCTTATATCTAATTTTAGCATGACTATATAACAATTTTAATAATAAAACTCGTAAAACGAAAAGGAATAAATATTTAAATTAATTACTGTTTTATTAATGATTGACTGAGTGCATCAAAGCTGATAGTACAGGTGAAGATAAATACTGATAGTTCAGGTGAAGAAAAGAATAAAAAAAATACATATATATAGAATAAAGAATCATGTGGATTTCGAACGCAAGGCATATAATATAAATAATATTGGTGCAACTAATTGATAGATACGTGCGTGCCTGATTTGGTTTTTTCAAACACAATTTAAGTTTTGTTCTCATCAGCTGACGTTGTGTTGCCCAAGATTGGATATGAATAAAAAGTCTCAACGATTTTCTTCCGTGAACCAATGTTCGATATTATTACATTTTTCCTTTGGTTGCTTTTGAATATACTTATGCTGGTTCAAGAAGAAAAGAATAATATAGTGAATGTGCTAATATTTTATTTTATTTTCCCAATCAAGTGAATTTATACACTTCCGTCTCGCTTCCTATCTCTGATTGAACATAAGTATTTGTGTATTATGTCGTTCACGCTAATGACCAAGCCAAAGATGAACTATTGGAAGGGTAGCACCATTTTTTTTTAAGCCTATTTGCCCCATTTTTCAAGTTTCGTATTGAAGAAGAAAATTTCAGATTTTAGAAACATGAATGTTAGGATTTATTTTGGCAATATTAATTATTTAATATTATATTTTTAAATCAATTGAGTTAATAAATATTTCAATTTAATTAATATAATGAGCCCATTATAATTAAGATGACTTGGATTTGAACTTTAGATATTTATTTATAATGGGTTTATTTGAGCAACACAATGTATGTATTTATTAGTGTCTAAGCGGATTATGTGATAGATGAATCTAGTAAATAAAGCAGTGTTATAAAAATTGATCCAACCCAGTTGGTTAGATTGATTGACCCATAAATCGAACCCCCAACTAGTTCAGTTTAAGTATTGAATTGATCATGCATTTGACCCTGTATGAATATGGTGAACTGATCCTGAATTGGATTCAACCGGTATTTTTTTTTAAAAAGAAATCCGATTTTATGAAATTTTAAATAAAATGTGTGAAAAATATCACTAATAAGATTTGAACCTAAACCATGAAGATTATAACATAGAAAACTTACCACTATACAAACTCTAATTATTAGCTAAAATATTTTTAATTTTATATTTTATTATATATATTCAATTTTTACGATTGACACAATAAAACACTAACTGGTGACTCATCAACCCGATCGAAATGATGATCAATCCGAATTTGATAACATTGAAATAAACTATTGAGTAAGATTATGCATATCCTCTCTACTAATCTACATATAGTAGAGCTTAAGCAGTATAAGTCATCATTCTGTCATCACAAATATATTAATGTTCATTACATTTAAATGAAGAGATAATTTTACCGGATACACAATTCGTTTCTAAATTTGTAGATATATTGTGTTTTATTATTATACATGCGTTTGTTGAGTTAAATGAACGGTATTATTATTATTATTATTATAGAGTTTTATAAGAGTTATGTTGTAGGAAAAATGATTGTGTAATGTTATAGAGATTTATTTTGCGTGTTTTAATTGTTTTTTTTTGTGCTTCAAAAAGTGCGGGCCCCACAAGATGTTATGTATGTAGGAAAAATTTTTGTGTCATGTAGCATGATGAATGCAAATTCCATTATTTTAATATACTTATAAACAGGTATTATCATAAACACTATGATTATTGAACTCAGACTTCTTGTTTTTTACAAAAAAATAAAATAAAAAAATACAAACAATTTGAAGATGATTATTGATATTGCATTTAATAATTAATATATAGTTGATTAAACGATTATTTAAAACAAGATAATTCCACACGGCAAAGAGCTAATCCTTGGTTCGCGCGTGGGCTTCAATGGCCATTGGCTTTTGACTTCTTTGCGGAGGCCGGCAAGCATAACAAACAATCAACAATCGTGCAAACAACTTCAAAAATAATGAAATGAATTTTTGCGTTGCAATTTACAACGTACCAAAATCAATGAATTGCTAAAATAAATGGAGAGCATAAAAGATTACAAGTAATTAAAATGGGTTTTGATTTTGTAATGTTAGATTATTTTCTTACACACTCATGATATATGTGGGGTTCATTAAATAGTAAAATGAGAAAAAAATTAAAGGTGAGACCAGCTTAAATTATGTGAGTAGGAAAAATAGTTTGTTGTCATGTAACATGACAAACTATTCCCAAAGTGGTGTTTGTGTGATTGTGTTTTTATTTTTTTTTTTGTTCTTAAAACTGTTTTGTAAAATAGTTATGGAAACAGTTGCTTTCTATATTTTTCCCTTTTTGGGTTTAGTGTTTGTCATTTCAAATGACATAACTTTGTGTTATTTTTAATGAAATTACGTCATTTTGGTGTGTTTTATCATTTTTTTAATTTATAAAATTAGAAATAAAAAGAAAATGGAGGAGAGAATGTTAAAAACACTAAAACGACGTAGTTTCATTAAAAATGACATAACTTTGTGTCATTTAAAATAAAAATATTTTTTATTTTTTTTTATTTTTTAAAAGTTAAAAATCAAAACAGAAAACAAAAACAATTCAGATATGTTCTCTAAATTTGATTTAAAAAAAAAATTATAATTTTCAAAACATTTTCTAGAAAACAAACATTACAAAACGAGTTTTCTAATTTTTATTGTTGTGAAAACTAAAAAATTGTCCATTGTTTCTGTTACTCGTGGAACTACGAGGAGAATAAAGAAGAATAATACCCTCCCTGTCTGTAAAGAAACCCCGTTGCCTCTTTCTTTTGTTTTCTTCCTCCCCCCTTTTAACTCTCTCTCTCTCTCTCTCTCTCTCTATGTCTATTTTGTCCTTGTTTAGTCATCTTACTTCTTCCTCTTGCTGAGCCTGAGAGGTGAGGGGTTTTAAATGTTCTTGAAGGACCTCTGTGCTCTTTGATCCGTTTTTTAAGGTCTTCTTGTTTAACTGCTTTTACAACTTCTTGGGTCCGTGTCGATATGAGTCAACTCGGTGTGATATTACAGGAATCGCTCCGCGCTGAAAGAGAAGCCAGAACCATTCTGGGTTTGTTAACGGAGCAAATGGATGGTGTCGATGGAGGACCACGGAGGAGACGGACTCTCAAAGAACGCCTCAGATTCACCGGAATGGGGTGTTGTGGGGCCACCTGGGTTTTCCGTCCGGCCACCCTAAACGTCAGGAATGACCAAGATGAACAAGAAGGAAGAACACACTCACAGCAGATGCAGGAAACGAACACGGGTGCTCAAGATCCAAACCCAAATGGACCCGAATGTCTCGGCCCGACTCCCTCGGGTTCGGGTATGAATCTGGCGGCGGCGTTGGCGGCCGAGCGTCAATTAAGGGGAGCGCAGGAACCGGATGGGGGAGGCGAAGGATCCGCCGGGGAGACGAGGACGGCGCCGGGGACGCCGTGGAGGGTGTCGTTGATGAAGCTGTTGGAGGAAACGGAGGGTGGGGATGCGGAGGTGGCGGTGACGGAAACGGAAAGAGAGGGAGGAGAAGGGGCAGTGGGGAATGATTCGGTGTGCTGCGTGTGCATGGGGAGAAAGAAAGGCGCAGCGTTCATCCCATGTGGTCACACTTATTGCAGGGTGTGTTCGAGGGAGCTGTGGTTGAATCGAGGGAGTTGTCCCCTCTGCAATCGTTCCATTCTCGACATTCTCGACATCTTCTGAATTTCATAGCCATTTTCTTGGATCCTTCACGACAATCGCAACGGAACGGAATTTTCATTTTCCTCTTCTTCTTCTTCCTTTTTTTTTTCTCCCACCTAATTGGGGAAAAAAAAAACTCAGTTGATATTTCACGTGTAATATAATTGTTTGAATTTCTTGAATGTGCTACAACTTGAAAATTAAAATACTCTTATTACTCTCTCTTATTTATGTATATTAATACCCTTGGGTAGATTTTGTACATATGTTCAGATATATTAGGAACATAGACAAATGGGACAAGGAAAACAAAGTCCCACATTTTTTATTTTACAATGATTGGAGTCGATACAAAAGAATAGGATAATTTTGGCGATTCAATTTTCTAGAAGGGGATCATTTTGAGTATTTTTTTTTTTTTTTTTGGTATACCATTTTGAGTATTTTAATTTAGACAAATGTGTTGATTTCTCAATTAGTTATTATAGTTTATGAATTTTTTTTATCCTTTTAAAAGATATAATATTATATCATTTTAGATTCTAATCATTAATTTTTGTCAATTAATGATTATAATTTATTGGGTCAATTTTATAATTTTGACCTAATAAATTATAGCTATTGCTTAAAGAAAATCAATAATTAAAATTTAAAATGGCACAACATTATATTATTTAAAAGAACAAATTTTTCGATACTTTATTTATAAAGTTTGTCAAATATGCCAGGCGTTGTTGTCTTATAAATGTATAAAGTTGAGGCCTAGTAACCTTTTCAAATAACATTGACATGTGCATTGTGTAGCAACCAACGCTTTAGATTTTTGCGTTGGGGTGTTCATGGCTGATAGATAAGATTGGGTTGGAAATTCTAAAATATAAAAAAGAAAACCAAGTACAGTATTTAAAAATTGAATGAAATCAATGAGCATGAGTGAAAAGCTTAGAACATTCTCTAACATTAAGGTAACATAAAAATCCAATAATTTATTGAACCTGGATACAAATTGTAACTTGATAGTGACATTTAAAACCTTGTACTGAAGGAGGGGGAGAGGGGAGAGGGGAGCTTTTGCTTTTGAGAAACTATTCCAAACTTAGTTCTTTTCGAAAAAAAATTTCTCTAAAAATAAATAATCAAATATAGCTGCTTGCATCCATGGAAAAAATAGGCGCAAAATTAGGGTGTCTAAATCGATTGAGGCTTAATCTATTCTAATTTCTAACCACAATTTGGTGATTTTGCTGGGCTTCCTTCTTCAATGCTAAGCCCAAGCCCATTTGAGGGGTTTTCTAAAAACCCTAACCCTAATTTTCACCTCCTCTATATATACTCATTAGTTGAGGGTGGAGGCTAGGTTAGATGAGAGAGGTCAGATTTGAGAGAACAAATTTGAGAGAAAAATTATTTGATTGTTTGAGTAAAGCTTTATGCTTTGCATTTGAGAGATCTCTAGAGAGAGTTTGAGTGAAACATCTCTAGGGTAGTTTGATTATCACCATTGTTGGAGAGGTCGAGTTAACCACCACATTGGTGTATTTGATTATTTGTAACCATTATTTTCATAGTGGATTTTTGATCTGGACTAGGTCCCTTTCCACGTTAAATCTGGTTGTGTTCTTCTTCTCTCTCCTGTTTTCATTTTGATTTTTCCGCTGCGCTGCCTGACCTGGTGAAGTTCAGGCTGAGGTATAGCCGAGATCCGAGATCAGGATCTTGTTGATTGACTTCCGCACAAAAGGCTGCTTAGCCGAGTTTGAGGGAACCGAGTTTTCCCAACAGTGGTATCAGTGCCCGAGTTCGACGGGCTCTGAGGGAGACGAGATGGAGACCAGTGGCATAACTCATGATGGAGATATGTTCAAGTTGACCGCAGACAACTTCACTTATTGGAGACCGATGATGGAAGATCATCTCTACTGCAAAGATTTGCATGAGCCCATTATCCTTGATGAGACACCGGCAGGCAAAACTGATAAAGAGTGGGAGATCCTGAGTCAGAAGGCGGTAGCCACGATCAAGAAATATATTGATAAAAGCCTATTTGAGCACGTGTCCGAATTCACGAACGCGTATGAGTTGTGGACGAAATTAGAGTCCATGATTCAGAAGAAAACTCCCAGGAACAAAGCACACCTGGTTCGCCGACTTGTTAAGCTTGAATACAAGGACGGCATGAGCATGATTGAACACCTGAACACCTACAAAGGTATTGTGAATCAGCTGTCAAAGGCTGATATGAAAATTGATGAAGAATTGCAGGCATTGCTGCTGTTGAGCTCGCTGCCAGAAAGCTGGGATACTCTGGTGGTGACCCTGAATAACTCGACTCCAGATGGAAAATTGAAGATGGATGTCGTGACAGACAGCCTCCTGGGCGAAGAATCCAGGAGAAGAGAACGAGGTACTTCGAGTACGTCTGAGGCCAATGTTGCTGAGAACAAAGGGAAAACCGACTCCCGCGGTAGAAGCAAAAGCCGAGGTAGAGGTCGTGACAGACGAGACAAGTCCAGAGGTCGGTCAAAGCCAAAATATGAGTTGAAGTGCTTTTACTGTGGAAAGACAGACCACAAGAAGCCAGACTGCTGAACCCTACAAAATGATGAGAAGAACGGCTCTGTGAAGCCGGATCAGATTATTCCCAAGAAGAGGGAAGACAAGAGCACCACTGCGGTGGCTGCCAACCCGAATGCCGAGATATTCCTCCTTGGTGAGGATAATTATTTGAATGTTGCATATGATGACTGCACCTGGATTGTTGACTCCGGTGCCTCCTTCCACGTTACTCCACACAAAGGTTTTTTCTCCTCTTATCGAGGTGGTGATTTTGGAGTCGTGAAGATGGAAAATCAGGTGACCAACAAGATTGTTGGTGTCGGCGATGTAACTCTGACCACAGATGTCGGATGCCGACTTGTGTTGAAGGATGTGAGGCATGTACCTGACATGCGTTTGAACCTAATCTCGGTAGGCAAACTTGACGATGCCGGGTTAGTGAACTACTTCGGTAGTGTAAGATGGAAGCTGGCCAAGGGAAACTTGGTCGTGGCCCGAGGTAAGAAAGAAGGCTCCTTGTACGTGATGCAAGGAAAAATCAATGGCGGAGAAGCCAATTCTGTTCGAGATGAACCTAGCTTGGAGCTATGGCACAAATGCCTCGGCCACATGAGCGAGAAAGGGCTACAGATCCTGAACAAGAAAGGATTACTGACCGGGTTGAAAGGCCAAGCGTTGGAGAGTTGCACGCATTGCCTAGCTGGAAAGCAGCACCGAGTTTCTTTTGTGAGACCGGATCAACCAAGAAGACGAAGGAATATTCTTGACCTCGTCCATACTGATGTTTGCTCCATGTCGGAAAGATCCCTTGGAGGAGCTCAGTACTTTGTTTCATTTATTGATGACTATTCCCGCAAAGTGTGGGTATATTTGTTGAAGTCTAAAGACCAGGTACTCCAATCATTTAAAGAATTCCATGCTATGGTTGAAAGGGAGACTGGCAAGAAATTGAAGGTGGTCCGATCTGATAATGGTGGTGAGTATTGCGGCCCATTTGATGCATACTGCAGAGCGGTCGGGATTCGACTTGAGAAGACGCCCCTCAAGACACCTCAGCTGAATGGACTGGCTGAGAGGATGAGCAGAACAATTGAAGAGAAGGTACGAAGCATGATATCCAATGCCGGGTTACCAAAATCATTCTGGGGAGAAGCCGTCAAAACTGTTGTTGACTTGATCAACCTCTCACCATCACGGCCACTTGAAGGAGAAATTCCAGAAGAAGTCTGGACAGGTCGGAAAACGGCCTATAATCAACTGAAAGTGTTTGGATGCCGAGCTTTCGTGCATATCCCTAAAGATGAAAGGGCCAAACTTGATGCAAAGACCAAAGAATGCATTTATCTTGGTCCGCCGAGATGTGAGTTCGGGTTCCGACTTTGGGATCCAATCAATAAGAAGATCGTGAGAAGCCGAGATGTGATCTTTCATGAGCATGAGAACATTCATGACATCTCGAAGCCCAAAGTTCGGGTTACTGTCAGACTTGAAGAACCCATCCCTCTTGTCCGAGCTGAAGCAGGGGGAGAAAATCAAGAAAATGATGATCAGCAACAAGCTGAAGATGACCAAGACATTGAGGTCCGAGTTGATGATGAGATCTGGGATGAGAATGATGAACCAGGTCCTCAAGCTGAAGAACAACCGAGATATCCAACTCGAGAAAGAAGACCCTCTACGAGATACCCATCTGATGAATATACCGTTGTTGCTGAAGACGGTGAGCCTCAGAATTATGATGAGGTTGTGATGAGCTCAGAGAAAGAAGAATGGAAAAAGGCAATGCAAGACGAGATGAAGTCTCTGCACGAGAATCAAACTTATGTGCTGACTGAGTTGCCTGAAGGAAGACGAGTTCTGAAAAACAAATGGGTCTACAAGATCAAGAATGAAGAGAACGGGCAGAAACCGAGATACAAAGCCCGAATTGTAGTGAAAGGCTGCAATCAGAAGAAATGAGTTGATTTTGAGGAGATTTTTTCTCCTGTGGTGAAAATGACCTCGGTCTGAACTGTGTTAGCCATGGCAGCTTCGATGGATCACGAGGTAGAACAAATGGACGTGAAGACGGCATTTCTTCACGGTGATTTAGAAGAAGAAATATATATGGAGCAACCTGAAGGATTCCAAGCTCCAGACCAAGAAGACTTGGTATGTCGATTGAAGAAGAGCCTCTATGGCTTGAAGCAAGCACCTCGGCAGTGGTACAAGAAGTTTGAATCATTCATGACTGATCATAAGTTTGAAAATACAGATGCCGACCACTGCGTATTTGTGAAGAGGTATGAGGCCAGAGATTTTCTGATTTTGTTGTTATATGTTGACGACATGCTTATTGTAGGGAAAGATAAATCGAGGATAGCCGCCCTGAAAAAGGCGTTGAGCTTGTCCTTCGCAATGAAGGACCTCGGCCCTGCAAAGCAGATTCTCGGAATCAAGATCATCCGAGATAGACAGAAGAAGCTATTGTGGCTGAGTCAAGAGAAATATATTGAGAAGATTCTGAAGAGATTCAGCATGGACAAAGCCAAAACAGTGAGCACCCCCCTTGTCGGACACATAAAGCTGAACCAGAAGCAATGTCCGAGATCTGATGAAGACAAAGATGAGATGATGAAGGTCCCGTACCAATCCGCCGTCGGAAGCTTGATGTATGCAATGGTTTGCACTAGACCCGACTTGGCGTATGCTGTTGGAATGGTAAGCCGATATTTGTCAAACCCCGGCAAAGAGCACTGGGAAGCAGTAAAGTTGATCTTCAAGTACCTCCGAGGTACAACCGACTTATGTCTCCGTTTTGGAGAAGGCAAAGCCGAGTTGCAAGGCTACTCGTATTCTGATTTAGGGGGAGACGCCGACTCGAGGAAGTCGACTACAGGATATTTGATGAGATTTGCCGGATGAGCTGTCTCTTGGCAATCAAGACTTCAGAAATGTGTTGCACTATCGGCAACTGAGGCTGAGTACATTGCCGCTACTGAGGCAAGCAAAGAGATGTTGTGGATGAAGAAGTTCCTCATGGAACTCGGCCATGATCAAGACAAGTACGAACTGGGTTGTGACAATCAAAGCGCAATCCATCTTGCAAAGAATTCTACCTATCACTCCCGCACAAAACATATTGATGTGAGGTATCACTGGATCCGGGATGTGGTGGAAGGTGGAGAGCTCGAACTCGTCAAGGTGCACATTGACCAAAATTGGTCCGACATGATGACAAAGCCAGTTCTAGCAAGAAAATTTGAAGACTGCTGTGAAGGAGCCGGGTTGATGCTGAAGTCGACGCATTGAAGTCGGAGGGGGAGATTTGTTGGGCTTCCTTTTTTAATGCTAAGCCCAAGCCCATTTGAGGGGTTTTCTAAAAACCCTAACCCTAATTTCCACCTCCTCTATATATACTCATTAGTTGAGGGTGGAGGCTAGGTCAGATGAGAGAGGTCAGATTTGAGAGAACAAATTTGAGAGAAAAATTATTTGATTGTTTGAGTAAAGCTTTATGCTTTGCATTTGAGAGATCTATAGAGAGAGTTTGAGTGAAACATCTCTAGGGTAGTTTGATTATCACCATTGTTGGAGAGGTTGAGTTAACCACCACATTGGTGTATTTGATTATTTGTAACCATTATTTTCATAGTGGATTTTTGATCTGGACTAGGTCCCGTGGGTTTTTTACTTCTTCATTCAAGAAGGTTTTTCCACGTTAAATCTGGTTGTGTTCTTCTTCGCTCTCTCCTGTTTTCATTTTGATTTTTCCGCTGCGCTGCCTGATCTGGTGAAGTTCAGGCTGAGGTATAGCCGAGATCCGAGATCAGGATCTTGTTGATTGACTTCCGCACAAAAGGCTGCTTAGCCGAGTTTGAGGGAACCGAGTTTTCCCAACAGATTCTTTAGTTTTCTCAATATATCTCTTAACTGATAGTCAAAGACTAATCCTTATAAGACGTAGAGATCACTAAAAGTGAGTTTTGCCTCTATTAAAATAGTCTTTTCTATACATATAGTTAGGGATTGAATCCTTGTCAACATACTTAAAGGATCCAGTTATTTACTGACTGTGCCGGACTTTGTTGGTGGTGATTCTTGCCATATACAAGGATGAATTGATATTTGAAGTTACACAATACTCTTATCTTTTTAAATTTTAAATTCAAAATCTTAGAAATAATCATATAAACTGAATTTAATGCCGCTGATTTACATATAAAACTGCTTATCTTATCTAGCTACACAGTCTTATTATACTTAGACATAGCAGTTCTCTCTCTAGGGTTTGATCTAATATAGCAGTTCTCTTATTCTGCTTATATAAATTAATGTATTTATTAATAATACAAATGAGTTAGAGTCGATCGTATAAAGTTTATTAACTCAAGCCCACCTCAAACTTTTAATTTTATTTCTATGCTAACCCATGCTAACTAAATACTAAATAGAAAGGTAAAGTATTTGGGTAGCTCAATGCATTCAAATTGGTTTGGGATTTAAATGATGGCCCCAAAAAGTATTTATGTTTCTCATAGTTGGAGTAGGACCGGGCGTAGAAAAATAAATGGAGAACGTTGGATGTCACTAGTTTGAGAATAACAGACGCACCTAGCCACCTCCATTTAAACATCTCAGCCTAGAGGGTTCAACGTCATATCTTTTTATGTTGAACTCAATTACTAGGTATGAACACAAGGGAGTTCTAGTACATAACGCCAGGGACCCCATAACCTGGTATTTCTTTATCTTGGTTTTGTTAATCCAAATTATAATGACACGTAAACCACACTCCCAAGAAGTGAACCCAATTGTTTAAGTAATTAGTAATTATTAGATTCGCTAAAACCTTTAGATTATCTAGACAATTAGATTAGAGAGATTATACAAGTTCAATCAAAATTAAATAAAGATGAACTGAGCTTAAAATTTAAAGCAACATAAGAGAATTTCTATGATGGAAATACCTGGGGTTGGGGTTTTACTTGTATTCAACTATCTAATTCCTTATATTTTTATAATTTAGTGGTTAATTTTCCAAAGACAACAACATCTATTAATGTTATTAACAATCAATAGTTATGGATTTTGATTACTCCAAGAAATTTTGGGCTATATCACACATTGTTGAATCTCGTCCAATGACAGTCTGAATTTATCTGCTTTGGGGTGATTTTCGTCCTAGGATAAACCTACAAAATGGCTGATTTGATATTGGATTGCTTTGTTTGGTTGAGTCGAATGGGAAAAAAATACCTGCAAGGTACTTTGACGCTCAATTTGGTATTTGATATATGAGTTTTGGTAAAGATGGAAAAGATGATCATATCTAGGTTTCAAGCCTTCATTATATAGTGGTTGGATGTCCTGCTTATGCTGCCTTAGTATGGTGGTATTTAATCTCATTTGTGGACTATGGAGGCTTCTATAGTCTATCCCATTCGTGGTATGCCTATTTATTGACTAGGCCTTTTAGGCATAGCTGGAGTCATGTGTCTATCCCTTGGCTATATTGACTGCGAGGGAGACTGTTAAATTCTGAATTGCTATCTCCATAGTTGCATGCCCGTGGGACGACGTCAACAAGGGATGGACGTGTTTCTTTATTCCTAAGTTTTGGTTGTTGGCCCTCTTGAACCTTTCATGAGTTAGAAGTAATATCCTGTATGGAATGGTCCAGATCAAGTTTGCTAAAAGTTTATTGTCAAATAAAATCCTATATTGGTGATTTAAACTCAATTTGTCTATAGAATTAATTGTATGTGATTACAGATCAATTATTCAAACAACTTACATTAAAGACATCAAATTTTTACCTAACTAAAAAACTCAAATAAAAAACTCTAAGGGTAGCTCAACCGGCAAAGTTGAGCGTCCAGGTTTCGAACTTTGGCCAAAACAATTCTTGGAATCCTTTGGGGGCTCGAGAGAAAAGGCTCCATCTCGATGGAGGATTAGTCTTATCCTTCCTCTGATGATAGTGGTCCAATGCACTTTCTGTTCCAATGAAGAGTTAGCTTTAGGGACCGTACTCCGAAGACAAGGTGGCCGAAAAAGTTGAATGAGAATACCTCTAGATTTATACTAAAAAAACAAAAAGTCAAATAAAAAACACCACAAATTATATTACAATTCGGAAGAAAACCCGACTAAGAAAGAAAGAGAGCAGCGCGTGCATGAGGAAAGTTAGCAACTACATATGGATGAGGGGTTTGTGTCAGTTTCTGAAGAAAGTGAAACCATGAGAGGGTGAATAGCCACCCAAGTTGGGTCCCATTTCCTACCAAAAACGAAGAAGACTCACCCTTTGGGGAAGATCATTGACAAAAGATGGTTGTGGTCCATCAGGATTAGAACACACACATACCCTACATGCAAGTGCTTACTCTGTTTTTTAAACTTTGAGATTAGCTTTGGCTTCCTATTCTCTTTCCGTTTTCGCTTTCCTTTTCCCTGTATTAAAGTTTCCCACCCAATTTAGTTTATTTCTATATTCTTTCAAGTAGCACTACAAATAGTGAAAGCATCCTCTTCTCTCTTTAATTAATTCTAAAAAATCAACGATTCTTTTCAAAGTTCATAGTAGCCTTGTACAAGCGGTCAATTTTTATTAATATTATATCCACTAAAACTGAGGTTATTTTCAATTTAAATATTATTATACATTTTTATTCCTCAAGCACTTCGTGAACGAAATGAAAGAAAAGGAAATCTCACATATTTTATTTTTAGATTTAATTCTGATACATTAGTAAAGTAAAAGTTTTTTGTACTATTATTCAATTATATACTTATATATTATCTTTTAATAATATAATAAATACATGATTTAGTGATCATGCAAAGAAATTCATACATGTATTAGAATTAAACTCTTTATTTACTTGCAAAAACTCAAAATATGGCATCTTACTAGTAAAATTTGAACTTGACGATTCCAAGTTTCTTCCTTAAAACCGAACCCATAAATTGCACCCCAGCCAATCACATTCCTCAGAGCCAATAAAAGTGAGAGAAAAAAGAAGCAAATGGAGAACTTTCCAGTTGTTGACATGGGGAAGCTTAACGCTGAAGAGAAACCAGCAACCATGGAGATTATAAAAGATGCCTGTGAGAACTGGGGTTTCTTTGAGGTACTCTTAAGCTTAAACATCTAAGTTTGCAAAACTAACTAACTTTCCTTCTCCTCAAAACGTAAAAATTTCCCTTGCATATGTTGAGTTTGAAAAGGTTTTGTTAATATGTTACTTTTTTGTGGGTTTCCTTTGTCTTCTTTTTTTTCAAGTTGGTGAACCATGGGATATCCCTAGAGTTGATGGACTCCGTGGAGAGGTTGACAAAAGGGCACTACAAGAAGTGTATGGAGCAACGGTTCAAAGAAATGGTTGCAAACAAAGGCCTGGATTCTGTTCAGTCTGAAACCAATGACTTGGACTGGGAAAGCACCTTCTTTTTGCGCCATCTTCCTGTTTCTATTTCAGATATCCCTGATCTTGATGAAGATTACAGGTCATGCCCGATATAAATCATGCACCGATTAAACCTCCATATATTTGTTGTAGCCCTTCTTTGTGCATTTGTGTTCATTGTTGTAAAGAACAAATTCAATCCAAATACTTAAGCGGTTGGATGGGGGGCTTTTAATGGTTTATATAATTTCACTAAAAAGTAAAAGGCTCTCTGAATTTGTGACCTTATAGTTATTGAAACTCTTGATATTATGTAAAGAATTAATTCAATTTAAATTTAAATTGTTGGATCAGTTTCTATGGTTTATATTATTCTCTAACAACAATTGAGTGTCTAAGAAACCATCTTTGTGTTATTTTATGGGTATTTCAGGAAGGCAATGATGGAATTTGCACGGGAACTGGAGAAACTGGCCGAGCTACTTCTTGAATTGCTGTGTGAGAATCTTGGGCTAGAGAAAGAGTATATGAAGGTGGTCTTCTATGGGTCCAAGGGCCCAAATTTTGGCACCAAAGTTAGCAACTACCCTCCTTGTTCCAAGCCAGAGCTCATAAAGGGCCTCAGAGCCCACACAGATGCTGGTGGCATCATTCTACTCTTTCAAGATGACAAGATCGGTGGATTGCAGCTCCTTAAGGATGGCCAGTGGATTGATGTACCACCAATGCGTCACTCCATTGTCATCAACCTTGGTGACCAACTTGAGGTATATTATATGTATATATTGATAGGGAATATCTTTTCTCACGTTGCTGTTCTCATGCAACACGCCTAAAAAGTAAGTAAGATTTACTTGTTTAAATGGATTCCATTCACTTTTTTGTGTATTGCACGAGATAAATTATCTCACGTAACATGAGAAAAAATAATCCCATATTTATATACGCACATACACATATGCCACTCTTCATTAAGAAGGAATGCGATATTAACTTTCTTAATTGGTTTAACTGATCAAAACAGGTTATTACCAATGGCAAATACAAGAGTGTCTTGCACCGTGTAATTGCTCAAACAGATGGCAACAGAATGTCCATAGCCTCATTTTACAACCCAGGCAATGATGCCGTTATCTCTCCAGCACCAACCTTGGTGAAGGAAGATGAGATAAGACAAGTCTACCCGAAATTTGTTTTTGACGAGTACATGAAGGTCTATGCTGGCCTCAAATTCCAGGCCAAAGAGCCAAGATTTGAAGCTATGAAATTTATTTAGGTCCCATACCAATTGTCTAAGCCTGAGCCTGGAAGCATTCTATTTTGTATGTTTGCTAAGCTTACTGATTAACTTGCTTTTGGCATCTTTGATTGGTATGGATGCGGCTTTATGCATGTGTAGCTTAAATATATAATTCAAAATAAAATATTAGCTCGATCTGAAAGTCGACAGATGTTGGATATAAAAATTTGGGAGATTTACCGAAAAGTCAAGCTAAGCTTATATGTTATAGCTTAAATTAGTTACTGTCAAGCAGTTAATTAAGTCATTAATTAATATGACTCGATTAATTATTTTTATCCAGATTTACCATGTTTTCCCTAAAGTTGTCGAGGGACAGTGGCTAGTATCATAACTTATTTCACTCTGAGTTGGAGTTCCATTTCCTTGGTTTTTTTTAGACACACATTGGGTTTTAGCGTTATATAGAGGTCAATGGGAGTGTTATCGGCAAAACATTTATCAGTATATGTAAAATCTTTGATCTTATCAAGTTCTACTTCTATTGCCGTAGTAGTTTCATTTTTTTTTTTTCATAAAAAATAAAATAAAATCCGTTCTCATTGGTAATTCTTGTAAATTTCAAGTTCCCTTTTGAGGAACCGAAAGGCACCCAATAAAATAATTTATCGAACAACAACCAAAGCAGAAAATTGATAATATAAAGAACCAAAAGTTGGCAAGAAAGCATCATCGTTGGGTTTGACGATCGACACTGAATGGCTACCAAGATCTACATGATAAGAGTTAGAAAAAAGTAGGTCATTTTAGTTGATGAGAGAACTAACAAAGGACTATGGTTCCACTGTTTACTCTAATTTATAAAAGCTGTATTGGCAATTTCAACTAGTCATAATGATCAATTGGGACCACAAGGACCACTTCATTACTAAAATCTGCCTATTTCCCAGCCAAAGCTGCTAAAATTACTCAGAACCCAGTTGAATCCGTTGCCACAGAAGAAGAGCATGCAAGTCATGAACTTAAAAAGGGGTTGAAAAGATGCAGATAACAGTTCTGAATAAGATTGACTGTTAAATTGATGGGCTATTGTCTACAAACAACACCGGTTTTCATTCCATTTCCAAAGGCAAAAATTCTGATTATTTGAATTAACTCAATTAAGGTCCTGTATTATGGAAGAATCTTAGGCAGGGCTGTATATGGATTCTCACTGCAAGCATCACTGAGAGGAGTTGCAGTTCGCAGGAAATAAGACAACAAATGCATTCCCCTTACGAGCACGAGCAAAAGGTGCCAAACTTTTTAAGTCAAAAGTCACTCTTATCAAGTAAACGAACAGTGGGTAAGGTTAGGTCTTTGATGAAAGTGACTAAGCAAGTTAAAATACCCAAAGCCATAAGCGACTAGATGAGATGACTATATGCTCCACTAGAGTATCAGTTAATTTCTCACCAGACCTACATCTATGCCCGGGATGCCCAAATCGGAACGAAATCTGCCAGTCACTGAAAATTCTTAAGTTTTAAACTTTAAAGTTTTTGGTGTAAAGCATATGATATGCGTATCACAATTTCAATAGATTCTGAAACATTTGTTAACATGGATCATGGATGGATAAAAGGGAAGGAACAAGGTGTGTGTGCGTGAAGAGGAGGAGGCAGTGTATTGTGAATTACGAACAGAAAAGAAGAAACACCATATTAAAAGGGTTATCTTTATCTATTTTACATGAGATAAACAACTCTCCTATACACAAAAAGGGATTCGATCCCACAACTCTTTTTTCTCTCTCATCTTACCTGTGGGTCCCACTTATATTTTTATTTCTACAACATGAGATAATTTTTTTCCTACAACGTAAGAAAAATATATCCCATATTAAATTAGGGTTATGTTTTAGTGTTTATCTCATTTTACATGAGATAAACAACTTTCATACACACACAAAAAGGTATTGGGTCCCACCACTCTTTTTTCTCTATCCTTTTATCTATGGGTCCCACTTATAATTTTATTTCTACAACATAAGAAAAGTATTTCCCGTTAAAATAAAGGGATACAACTATAATGTTGCATGAAGAAGAATAGTATTTCTGTCAGAATTCAATACAGAAGAGAATAATTTTTTCTTCACTGATTTCTTCCTCCTGAATGAGGGAATTTATATACAAAGATGACCAACAAACTTCCTAACAAATTTACAGAATATTCTACTGTAAGATATGGACCAGCCAAACAGTATTATATACATAACAAACAAAATAAACATTTAAACTTGAACTAATTCTGTTTTATCAGCACTAACAGTAATTCAAACATCAGAAGCTTCCTTTCAACACTCCCCCTCAAGTTGGTGCATGAATATCAACCATGCCCAACTTGCTAATTATCTCCTCAAAGACTTTTCCGGAAACAACTTTGGTTAACACATCCGCGAGCTGATCTTTGGATTTAACAAAAAGCAGTTGTATTATCTGTTAATCCAACTTCTCTTTAATAAAATGTCTATCTACTTCCACTTGTTTGGTCCTATCATGTTGCACAGGATTATGAGCTATTTCAATAGCTACCTTGTTATCACAAAAAAGTTTCATTGGCTCATCGTAGTGAATTCCAATATCTTGAAGGACATTTCTTATCCATAGTAGTTCACAAATTCCATAAGACATTCCTCTGAACTCTGCCTCAGCACTAGACCTTGCCACTACATTCTGTTTTTTACTTCTCCAAGTAACTAGGTTGTCTCCCACAAAAGTAAAGTATCCAGAGGTTGACTGCCTTGTAGTTTTGTCTCCGGCCCAATCAGAATCGGTATTATCCCTTGATTGATAAGTTTTGGTTTCTTGTAAATAGTAGTCCTTTCCCAGGAGCTCCCTTCAGATATCTAAGTATCCTATACACTGCATTCATATGCTCATCACTTGGAGAATGCATAAATCTACTCACAACACTCACTGCATATGAGATGTCAGGTATAGTGTGTGCTAGATAAATTAATTTTCCAACAAGTCTTTGATACTTCCCAATATTAGCCTGTAATTGGTTAGGATAAACTGCAAGGGTATGATTCATCTCTATTGGAGTGTCTACTGGTTTACAGGCTAGCACTGATGCATCAGAAGAAGTCTTGTGCGAATTCATAGTATGTCGTTGCTGATAATCACGCCTGACAAAAGCATATGAGGTCTCGACGTCAGGTTTCGGGTCCTTTCGAAGAATCTCACTGCGTACCTGGTCGAACTCGTTGTCTAACCCAGCAAGGAAAACATGAACCCTCAACCGTGAGAGAGCCGAGTGGTGGTGGATGACTTTAGTCACCGAATCAGAGGAGGAGGTTCGGTGATCGATTATCGCTTGGAGTTCGTTGTAGTAGACCGCAAGAGGACGACCAAACTGCTTTGTGTTGAACGAACGTTGGTTCAGGTCGAAGAGGCAGGGTTCATCTGAACCGTCATAGAAGGTTTTTGAAGTTGCATCCCAAATTTCGCAGGCGGTCTCCAAGCGAATGAATCTTTGCATGAGGCTAGGAGACATGGAGTCAATCAACCAGCTTTTGACCCATTTGTTGTTGGTGATCCAAGAATCAAGAGTGGGATCACCAGGTTTCGGTTTGGGAGTGGCACCGGTGAGGAAACCGGACTTGCTACGAGCTCCAATTCGCATATCCATGAGTTGCGACCAAAGAGGGTAGTTTGATTCGTCCAAAACCACAATGAGAGGAAGAGCGGAGTGATCTTGTTGGATAACAATGTTTTGTGGCAGCAGTGGCGGGGTAGGGGGCGATGTGATAACGGGCTCAGAGTCAGACCCAATGGTGGGGTTCGAAGAAATTTAGGGATTCGAAAAAAAGAATTGATGGGTAGGAAACGATTTGGGAAAAAAATCGATTTGGGAAAGGGAGAAGTAAAATAAGGTTCGGGTCTGGGTATGGGTAGGAAATGATTTGGGGAAAAATCGATGTGGGAAAGGGAGAAGTAAAATATGATTCGGGACTGGGTTTGGGTCGGGTGGGGAATAAAATAAAAAAACGATACAGAGGGAAAAAAATTGCCTAGGATCAGTATGCTCTTGATATCATGTCAGAATTCAATACAGAAGAGAATAATTTTTTCTTCATTGATTTCTTCCTCATGAATGAGGGAATTTATATACAAAGATGACCAACAAACTTCGTAACAAATTTACTGAATATTCTACCGTAAGATATGGACCAGCCAAACAGTATTATATACATAACAAATAAAATAAACATTTAAACTTGAACTAAAAGCACTAACAGTAATTCAAACATCAGAAGCTTCCTTTCAACAATTTCCTACTAATTACATCGAAAATTCCCTGCTCTTTTTTTTCTTTCTTTTTCTTTTCTTTTGATGTGAACCCCCCATGATCCCTTGTCTGCAGGAAAACTATTCCTCATTCTTCCCAACTGGACAAATGGATTTCCCTTAAAATAATGAAGAGATTATACAAATTTTTTGAAAGGCACATCGTTTCCTTTTGTCCTTTAAGCCAAATAAATAAATATGTGAAGAGATTATACAAAATTCTACAGATTTAAAATAGTTAGAATGAAAATCCATTATTAAGAAGAAAATTATGAAGAAAAATAAGTGAAAATTTTGTTTTTGTAAATTAAAGAACTCATTTGAGAAAGCAAAGATCAATGACAACCCCCATCTTTCTCCCTTCACCCTTGGTATTTATACGTGGAAAACATTTATACTTACTTATCTAAACCCATCTCATCACACAATCATTAATCACACAACCAAGAAACTTGTCCTACGTACTTTGTGACAACCAATCTGTTCATCAATGCCATGATTCTCCACTCAATGATAGAAACAATCCATCAGAAGACCATTGGCCTTCGTCTCGGATTTACAGACATGGTAAAGAGGAATTCACTATTTTTTGTTTCCTTTGCTGTATTTGTTTTTATACTTTTGCTTTTACTTTTAGGGGCACTAACAATAAATCTTTAGGCGTCTTGCTCTAAAACTTCGGCCAAAGAATTCCCGGGATATAAAAGACACTAAAAACATTAACCATGTAAATGAAAGAAACAAATTCGAGGAATAACCCGATTAAACTTCATTTTACAAAATTAGCAAAACATGCATCATATTGGTAAGACCTAACAAAACAAATGTCAAGACCCAAACAAGTATGCAATCGTCAACAAATTGCAACTATGAACAAAGCAGGAGGGCAACAATGACAGACTGATATTTAGCAACTGAAATTGATTACTGGAAATTCATAATTGTCTAAATAATGTTCAAAAATAATCTCCCTTCATCAGATCGCCAAGAACTTCAGAGAAAAGAAAAAGAAAGAGGGCAGGATTATCTAGTTAAGAAACCCTAAATTTCCAATTTCTATTTAAAAAGAATTCAGATATCCCTTTCGAGCTCAGAATGAAAAGGATATTCTTTGCCCAAATTCTTCATTGAGGATACTGCTGAACAGACATAAAACTGTAAAAGAGATGTAAAAGCCATATCATTTATCTCATACTTGATTAGCCTTGTTAATCTCTGGCTCACCAGTCTTATAGGGTTGTGGGTTCTCAATCTTTTTATCATCTCCTTCTCTTGCATCTCCATTTGAGCAATGATTCTTTAGAACCATAAAAATATCTGCCTCAGAAGCTCCAGCAAGCTTGAAGCGCTCAGTTGCAGCATCCAGGTTTTTCTTCCAACCACTCATTCCTAATTTGCATTCAACTTGGGATCTTTCGAAAAGCATATTACCCCAAAAGAGGTGAATCTGCGATCTCATGACAGCTGCTTGTTCAGCAGCTTCTTCTGGGGATATTTCCCCTTGACCGCCAACAGTGGAGGACTCACCTTCAGTAGCACCTCCCTGTTTCTTTCTTCTTCTCAATAGTTCTTCTTTCTTGGTTGCATTTGGGTCCTTTAGCTCTTTTGCTCTCTGTTCCTCCAGCTTCTCCCACATATCTGTTGCAGCTTTCATCTTCTCCTCTGCACTATCAAAAAGTTGAAGTGTCTCTGTAGAATCCCAGCCTGATAGATCTATCTTCTTAGCAAGTGCAAAAGACCAATGAAGTTTAGCCATTTCAAATTGTTGCTGCCCCAGAGCTAACAGTCCCTCATAGAAGTCTGGTTTGATCAAGAGTGCTTCCTCATACTTTTCTCTTGCCAGAGAATATTTTTCCTTGACCCAGTCATAAGCCACTTGAAGCTGTTCTGCCACTTGAAGCTGTTCTGCCACTACCTCCTTCCCAGCTGACTCATCTAGGGGGATCCGCTTCCTAGCAGCGCACATGTGAACATTTCCCCAGTTGAAGAATGCCAATGCGGCCACCTCCTGGAACTTTGAAGCAGCCTTGTCAAATAGAACCTGAGCCTCCTCACTAGTAACTGTTTCCTCAAGGGCCTCTGAACAAAGCTCCATCCCAAGCTCATGCAAGTCAATATGAGCGTCTGGATCAATTCCAACATGTGAGCGGAAAAGCTGAGCAAAATCAAACAACCAATCATCCATCTCCACTTCTTTGCATTCAGTATCTCCTTTGGCTCCCGGCTTTTCCTTTGGAGCATCCTTCTCTATCTTATCAACCTCAGTGTCAGGAACTTCAGAGACAGATTCACTGAGGGAAGAATGTGACCCACTCTCATCTCCCTTGATCCCTTCACTCTCAACAGGTTTCTCTTCCTCTTCTTCCAATAAAGGTGGCTCCTGCTCCGGACTAACTTCAACAATATGTAGTCTCAGCATTGAAACTGAATCACTTTTATCTGCTTCAGGTTCTTTTAAGAGATGGCTATCAACACTAGACTCTGCCAATCTGAGTTCATCAGTAGAAGTTATAGTAACCAAATCACCATCACCATCCTTATACTTGACCAGAACTGCATTTGACGAAGGAAATCTTTTGCTTACTATATCTCTTAGTACTCTAAAACTGCAATTCACTGGCATCTGGGCGAGCCTAATGTCATGATCATAAACAAGCTTCAATGGTCTCCACCGAATTGCGACCTCTGAACGCTGCCCACGAACAGTTGAGGAATGAGATGACTGTTCCTTTTGGTTTTCTTTTTTCAGGTTAGGTGGCTCTGCAGAACCATTTGAAGGCTTCAACACAAGTTTTGGCAGGTGGAACCTTGTCTCAGGACCATTTTCGGTTGGCAAAACTGGTTGGGACTTGTCTAGCTTGTTATTAATAGGTGAGAGAACCGATCCAACAGCTGAATTAGGCCCCTTCTTTGGAACCGGCCGGGCCGGCAAACACGGGCCTAATCCAGCAATAGGGGCACCACGGACAGCAGAAGCCCCAAGGGCAGCGGGGGAAGGGCGACTCTGGAGGTCCTGCTGGGCTTCCTGGCGAGGTCCCAATGCAGTCCTCAGTCTCTGAGAAATCTCCAAAGCATCACGGTGATTAGGATCAGCTCCCAATAAGACCTGCACATCTTGCACAGCCATTTCATATTTACCTACAGCCTCGAATGCCCGAGCCCTCCGAAGAAGGGCTCGGACAAACTGGGGCTGAACCTGAAGTGCCATGGTGCACTCAGCAATCACAGTTTCATAATCTATGGGCTTCATTTGCATCAAACAAGCGGCCCTATTGCTGTGAAAAACAGCTCTATCAGGGTGTGTTTTAGGGGTTAATCGAAGAGCATTCTCATACTGTTCAAGAGCACCCGCATAATCCTTATTCTGAAATCTCTTATTCCCTTCCTCTTTGAGCTCATGGGCTCTCTTCAAAAAGATCGACGAATCCAACTCAACCCCACCATTAGCCGTTGAGGCTGAGGCTGAGGCTGAGGCTGAAACTGAAGCTGAACTATCAACGACGGAACCCCCCTTCTTTCTTCTACCCCCTGATTTCCCCATATTACACTTTCCACACACAATTATTTATCTAAATCACAATCAGTACAATACAAAACCAGTAAAGGATGAAATTATCTTTCCAATGCCAAACAGACAGATGGGTCAAAGGGACTAACACTTACCAGTTAGAATAAGAATGCTCCAGTTTTTCTGCAAAAAAAAAGAAAAAAAAAAGAGAGAAATTGAATATTTGTGTTGTGTTGTGGCAGCGATACTCTAGAAGAAGAAGAAGAAGATAGCGTGAATGATTATAGAATGAGAAAGAAATAGGCGTTAGCTTAATTCAGAAGTGCTGTTGGGTTTTGTTAGCTGTAAACCCTAGATACTTGGATCGGTCTCTTATTAGATGTGGGTCCCTCGTCTTGGTCATTCTCAACCCTCCGATCTAAAGAATCATTGTTGACCTCCACATCAAGCATAAGCATGGATATACATGGGCTTTTTTACCCTTATAACCTTTAATTAATAATTAATTACTAATTTGACCTTCATTTGAAACTAATTCGAAAATTTAACCCCTTCAGAAAACATAACACCAATCTGACCCTGTTTGACCGTTGACCATGAAGCCTACCCGGGTACACCCCTCCCTACCCTGGTATTTTTTGAAATTTTTTATCTACCCGGTAGAGAGGGGTGTACCCGGGTAGAGTTCTTGAATCTGGAAAAATGGTTGAATTAGTTACCCGGGTAAGAAGGGTTGTACCCGGGTAAACATCCAGAGTAGCGTTTTTATATAACCGAGATGCTAAAAAGTTTCTTTTTCCAATTCATATTCTCCTCGGATTTATATTTCTATCAGGTTAATGAAAACGCAAAAAATTGAAGCACCTTCTGATTACAGAAAACAAAATGAAATTAGTAAAAAATTAATACAACATTACCATGTAATTGTATCCCCTAGTTTCTCTAATCTTCCTCAACATCATTTGGATTCAGCTTCCGGTATAAGAGTCCCAATTCTGCAAAACTCACCATTTTTCTGCAACGTCACAACTAAGTAAAACTATAGATAGATAGAGAGAGAGTAATGACCTGCTAATTGATTGATGGAAACAAATTCAATAGGGCTGCCATGGCGAGGAAGCCTTGGATCTTCGTTGCTATCGTCCATGATCCATGCCTGTCACAGTTTTTTTCATTTATATAAAAACGCTACTCTGGATGTTTACTCGGGTACAACCCTTCTTACCCGGGTAACTAATTCAACAATTTTTCCAGATTCAAGAACTCTACCCGGGTACACCCCTCTCTACCCGGGTAGATAAAAAATTTCAAAAAATACCAGGGTAGAGAGGGGTGTACCCGGGTAGGCTTCATGGTCAACGGTCAAACAGGGGCAGATTGGTGTTATGTTTTCTGAAGTGGTTAAATTTTCGAATTAGTTTCAAATGAAGGTCAAATTAGTAATTAATTATTAATTAAAGGTCATAAGGGTCAAAAAGCCATATACATGCTATAATACAAAGGATGAAAGGCTATATTCGTAAATAAGAGAAGGAGGCGGGGCATTTTCGTCCACTGATAATGCCAGGTTAGGGTTGGCATGAAAATGGCCACTTTATAAATAGCTTCCTAAGATACTCACGCAGTCTTCATCGGCGGAGAAGCACAACGAAAAAATGGGTGTTTTTTTTACTTCTAAGAATTTCAATTGTCTGTTTTTTTAATTTCATAGAAAAGAAAGGCCTCAGTTGTTTCTAAGAGAATGGAGAGACTGTTCAAAGTGTCTCTGCCATCGTGTGAACAATGAGGCAAAACAAAACCAAATGGGCGAGTCATCGTTTCGGTCGTCCTTTTGTTTGATTGGCGAATCGATTGTTCCTCGTCTACATATTAGTTTATCTTCCCTTGGCTTCGTTTTCTTTTAATTTTGACTGATTTTATTTTCTGCTTATGTTCTAGCATCTAGGGTGTTTTTTTGGTGAATGCTTTGAAGAAGTAAACTAAAAAAGTGTCTTAAAATAAAATAAGAAAGTGCGGATGATGTATAACTTGTCAAATTTCTTCACTTTGAACCGAATGGAGATTCATCTCCATGTGGATTCTGTTCATTCATTGATGCACTCGTTAGATTCTCGCTTCATGTTTTCCGGATACAAGATATATCATCTTTCTTCTGTACATGGTTGACAGTCTGTTTGGTTTGATTATGATGATGATGATTGCTTAACAGGACGATAATTACTGTCTAAATAAGTGGATGCTGGGTAACATCTGCCTTCGCTTAATTTGAGAGAACTTGTATGGAAACATGCTATTTTAATGGCATTGATTTAATGCTCGTATTTGCATGGTTTCTTGGTTTATATTTCTGATACGGTTATTGAACATACCAACTACATAGGGATGGATTACAATGCAGGAGCAATATCCATAGTGCTCACGGGACAGATACAAACAACATAGAAAAACACTGATAATTTCTGAAAAAATAAGAAAATCTGTCATGTTTCTGTTTGGGTATTATCAGATAACAACAAACAAACAATACTAAGCCCCGAATCAATTTGAAATCGAGTCCATTATTGCGTTATTTGTAAAAGATTTAGGATCAAAGATTAGTGAGTAAGATCCTTGATCCAAGACTACAGTTGTTTTAACTTGCGTTGTAATTCATTACCACAAGTTTTTAAATTGGGGGTTAGTTTAGTAGTGTGCTAATTGGGGTTATGAATATGAAAATGTGTATGATTATACTCACTGATATGTGGAGGAGATTATTTAGAATAAATTTACTGACACACTTTCATACTCCCTAAATCTATACAAATTTTTCCATTATCCATCGAACAGCTGAAATGACCGACATGTTAATTCGTTTCAGACTTGCACTCATCAACTCATTATGTAATCAATCTCTTTCAAATCAAACTGTAATTGGCTAGTGAAATATTACCGCATAAGCAGCATCTTAACTTTTTATCACCTTTCGTTTCGATTGAAATGGAAAGAGGAGTCACAACCAACCCATCCACAACTTCGCATAAATTGCTAGATTGGACATCCAAATTCGAAACAAGGAGCACATTTTCATTGCTACAAAAGTAGCTACTTCACCAAAAACATAACAAAATGAGATATGAGAAGAAACATCCAATGGTGAGGGTAGTGTAAAAAAGTTAACTTTTGCCATATTTGGTCAAAGATGTGCTGAGTGCTCGAAGTACTAAAAATATTTTCTGAAACGGTAATGGAATGTAAACAAAGGATCCAGAACATATCAGATTCTACTCATCCTGCTCTAATTTCTAGTGAAAAAAGATAGAAGACAAGTCATTATACTTCACTTCATCATGGAAATATTCCATGGGAGGAAGCAGCAGCTTTCTAAAGTACCCCATTATTTCTATTTCTATTTCTACTTCTATTTCTTTGAGCTTGAAAATGAGAGTGGGTGGTGCTTCAAACAAGAAATATCAAACAACTCGATGAACCTCTGGTCTGACACTCTGGCCTTGGCACCTGCAAACCTTTGGTACTCATCAAAAACAGATGATAAACACCATCTCTGCAATCTTCTTATGCATCCCACAAGACAACCAGTGCGGTGCTGTCAATAAAATCACCAAACGATTGGAGATTAATAAGTCCAAAATATTAATAAAAACAAAGATTCAAAGAAAAAAGAAATAGTGCATACTTTTCCTCGTTTACAGTGGATCAGCAGGGGGTGGTTCCTAACATCTGGAGTCAGAAAAACAAGCACCAATTACGTTAATATATCAGTGAACAAGCTGTGCTATTAAAATGGTGAAATTCAAGATTTTGTAATACCGAGGGCCACTTTCAAAGCTTCACGAATTGTATCCTCTGGGATGTTGACAAAGGGTTCCTGACCACAGTATGTATAATCAATGTGCAGAACTATGTTATTTTAGATATCAGTTAAAACATCATATTTTCGATCTATTGCTTTTCCACCCTTGCATGGCACTGGGGGAAGAAGGCAATTAATGGGGAGGGGTATTCTTATCATTCAAATTTAAGGAAAATAAGCCAACACATCAATAGGGTATAAAGACTACAGCATGTAACGACAATTCACTGAAGATTGCATAAAATTAAGAGCAAATCTGGTGGCATCTTCAAACTCCTGCTAAAGATTGATCTTATAAGAAAATGAGAGTCTGCATAGGACAAAGTAAGCTGCAGGATTGGTGACTACCCAGGAGTAGCTCTTAAAAAAGTCAGGCTACTCACTCTCCTCATGTGGATATAGAATCAGTTCAAATTTTTCTTTTCTACAAGCCAAGGTAGACTGCTTTTAAAGACCATTCCTCAATCCCCAAACTTTTGCTATACTATTTGAAACAAGCTCTACACATATAGATCAAATTCATATGCTCGGAACAACTTAAAGCCATCAGTCCAGCAAGCCCTGGATTCTCCTTTAAAACTCCTACATTTGGTTCTAGTATGAGGTGGATTATACAGCTAATATGGATGTTATTGTTAGCAGGCGGAGGTAAAGAGGTCTATTAGTTTGTGCTAAACATCTTTAATGAAGATGAAGCAAGAGTTTACCAAGGGCAATGAATAATAAGTATGCTTATTCTGGAATAGCTTTATGACAGATTCTATAAATGTTTTGGAACATAGAACTTGGGGCTGGTTGCTGTTCATGAATTCAATACAATTATGAGACGTTTGCTAGGATAAAGGGACTGGAGCTGCAATTTCCTAGATTAGCTTGAATAATAAAATAAAGGGAACAGATAGAAGTAGAAAGAAATCATGTAAGCTCAAAGACTACAAAAAAAAACACAATTACAAGTTTAAACCATGACAATAATTTAATATTAGCAGTAACTTGTATTATAGAAATGGTTTCTTTCCAGGACGATATGGTAACACTAAAACTAACTGAAAATACAAAAGAGTCAGTAAACACAAATATTAAAATTTGTTTTCCAGGAGAGGCCTGGAATGGAGGGGAAGATTGAGTATGCATTCAAATAAGTTTATCCACTAACTAGTTTATCAATGTTCACAAGAAATAAGAATAAAGAAATTGAGCAGTACTTAGAGCAAAAAAATTATTAGGTATAGTTTGCATAAATTGTTACGCTAAAAGTAAAACCAGGTAGTTTTTTCGAAAGGTTTTTTCAATAAAATCTGAATGAATTTTCCCTATGAATCTAAAGAACCAGAGCAAACTTTACTAACTAACAATATTCTCTTTAGTCCAATTTAAGGTTATTATTAATTAGTCTTGTTTGAGGTTTCCAAATCAAAGAGTTTATACTTCCTTGGAGCATTGAAACTCACAACCACTACAAATAATATTTCTACCTAAAAGCACAATAGTTTTTCAAATTAAAACCAGTACTAGTTCAGCTTTCAGAAAAACCTTTTTCAAATGAGTAACCAACATGAGGTAAAAAAGGACCACAATGAGACCTATTAGTGAACTTAATTTGAAACAACTGAAAATACTTAGCTACAGAGCCTACACTAATGTTTTATGTAACCCGGGAATATGAAAGTCAACAGCTAAGGCATCATCGCCATCAGACTTAATTGTACAAGAAAGCAGTGCCTACTGTAAATAAATCATAGTGTCATAATAATTAGTTTATTTCCCTGATGCATCACATCCCTAGTCCCTCATATATTTCAGTGTCCATGCACATGCATGCTCACGCTTGAATTCGCAATCGGTGTTAGTTATCCTAAATGTTTTTTTATTTAAAGGAGAGTCTTGAGGGAGCATTTATAATTTCTAAAAAGGAAGTCTTCACGAAATTTATTCCATCACCATGTGCAATCTTAGATTCTTAGTAAAGAATAGCAATTTTGGCATATCTGTATCTTATTCCAGAATTTCAAACTCATCTTCAAATAACTAATTGAGTTGTATTAAGCACCGCAGCAACAGATCAAAATATAGTAACAGACTAAGATTGGAAAATTATACCAAATCTGACAAAGTTGGATTGGAAAACTACAATAAACAGAAATTTGGCTTGGCAATTGTCATAAGAATCGTGCAAGTATGCAACAAGTTAGAATCGAGTAACCCTAATTAATTGCCAGCCAACAAGAAAGCATAATTTAAAAATTAGAAAAAAGAAGAATCATTTCAGAGTACAAAGGGTGATCAAGAGAAGAAAAAAAAAAAATACAAACCTTACAGCCATCGATCCCGAATTGATAAAACCTTATTCCGTTGACCTTCAAAAATTCCAAAGTCGCTTCTGGATACGGTTCGGGGCACAAACATCTGCACGAAAAACATAAATACACGAATTCAGAAACGCGAATTCACTCACGAGACATCACATAGAAAGGAGAATCGAACTCACATTACGGAACGGAGACGAAGGGATTTCAGGAATCCGAAGTTGGCAGAATCGGGAAAGCCCGATCTAAAAATGCCATTGTCGACCATCGCGAAGTTCAGCGGCGGCACGAATATCTCCTCCACGTCATCCGCGTTCTGCGGTGGCGAAACATCGCCGGCGAAGGACATCTGGCCGTTGGTGTTATCGAGCTTCATGGTTTTGGCGCCAATTATCCTGAACAGTGAAAGAGGCAATGTCACGTTGAGGAGCGATTCATGGGATCTCCAGTTTCTAGGATCTGTCTCGTTATAAATATAAATATAAATATAATTAAATAAATAAGATATAATATTATCTCTCTATTTCTAAAATAAAATAATAACATAGGAGGCAATTTTGTAGCATAAAGCAAGAGAGAGAGAGTGAAAAAAAAGTTTCGGACTTAAAAAGTGGAGGATCTTTGATAAGATGCTTTGAAGTTTGGTGTGTGATGACCAAAGATGGAGACGTGTAAGGAAGAATATGCTGAAATCGGAAGCCACAAGGAAAAATAAAACCCCAGTTTTGCCCAATCATACCAACTCATGTGTGAAGTTGCTTCCTTTATTTAATTTTTGCTTACTTTCCCTATTTCTATTTACAGTTTGGACTTTGGAGCTAATACCGTATTGTAATTTAAGAATCAAAATTGACTGGGCGAAAGTGGGGCCAGGCCTACTTGTTTAATTAATTGTTGACAAATGCAATTTGGTACCCAAAAAAGCAAAGGATGAGGACTGAGGGAGGAGTGTTTGAGGGGTTGGACTTCACTCGCATGCGGTGCTGGCTGCGAAGCTACTTGACACACATAAAGCAAATGTGCTGAGACTTCAAATTTGTTGTTAACGTAAATTGCCACCCAACTTTAACCCTCATTGACAATGACTGCCTACAATGTAAAGCATTTTGCACGTAATTGATTGACTAGGAAACGCAAGTTGGTGCAAACCAAAAGTTTAATGGTGGATAGCCTTTTTAATTTTAATAAATAAAAATCACGATAAAGGACATGATCAGATTACATACTAGAGAATACAAGCGGAATATTTTGGGATCGTATGCACTGATACCAAAATAGAATTGGGTATCATTCATTTCTTGAATTACAAAGATCAGCATGTATATATATATATAAATTCCAACATGTGACATAAACGTCTGCATAACAACGTTGCTGATCTTTGTAATTCAAGAATATATATATATATATAAATTGTATAGACAATCTATTGGTTATGAATAAGAAGTTTGGTAGTGAAAAAGTGTGTCTTTTCGTCGACAAACAGATGTATCTTTTCATCCTAAAGGATGTGTTGTTTCATCTGAACGGATGTGTTGTTTCATCTGAACGGATGTGTTGTTTCATCCTAATAGATGTGTTGTTTCATCCTAACGGACATGTTGTTTCATCCTTGAATGGGTGCCTTTTCGTGTTGAACGAATGTGTCTTATCGTGTCCAACGGATGTGTTGTTTCGTCGTCGAATAGGTGCCTTTTGAAACGTGACCGGTCAGTGTCTATAAATAGACACTGACACCTTCATAAAATGTATCCAATTTTTCTGCACTGAAACTCTGCCAGAATTTTTCTCCTTCCGATTTTGCATGTTCCTTTTCATACTCCGGTGTAGTTTCCTCTGGCATTTTGTTGTGTTCGTTTGGGCTGTTGATTGGTAGTGCCACCATTCTTCAGACGAAATTCGTTCTATCCTGGGAGACAAGTGTCCATCAACCTTTGGCATCAGTGAGGGGGCAAATTATCTTAAGGAGACACGTTCTGTGGGCTCGGATTTAATTCCTCTACTGCATACATTAATCTGTTCTGATTCTTTATACTGACTACAAGTAAGTCTGTTTTTAATATTTTTATAATTGCACAGTGATAATTCTGATCATCTACCTCCTCTGCCTTATACATGGGTTCAAATCTCTTAGTGATATAATATCACCCACTGTCTTCAATAACAATCTTAAGACAATTCTGGTGTTTTGAACCTGTGATCAGTATATTCTATTTTTTATTTTATATACTGTTTTTATTTACTGTGTAATTAAAAGATTAATTTGTGCGATTAATCATGATTGTTGTTTGTGTAACATAAACGAAGTTTCTAATGTTTGATTTGTGAACATTCAAACGGTAGAGTTTCTATTTTGATATTTTCAATTTTAGAAATTCGGAAAACAATTTTTTATTCAAATATTGTTTTTGTACGTTAATATGTTGCATTCATGATTCTCTTTGATCATGAAATGGGTATTAGTATTACCATATATTGCCAATTGCCATGTTTGATCACGAAAAGTAATACCTGTGAAGAGTATCTCGATTGTCGTGCATTACAATTGCTTTTCATTTTTAATCATGAAATGTCCAGACCTCTGTTGGGGTGCATGGAAGTCTTATACATTTGAATAAGTAGGGTGCATTATTGTCATGTTCCTCTTAAAGCGTTGGAACGTCATTCTAAAGTGGGGGTGCACTGTTACTGTTTACATTTGAATAAGTATCTACAAGTGAACCAAACGGTTCAACTGGTTGACGGTTACAAAGGAATCGTTGCAACCAATTTTTATTTTTTTAATTGGTGGTTTTGAACTTGATAAAGAAACCATGGCTGAAGTTTGGAATTAATCTGTGTTAGTGTTAGATTTGTGGAAATTCTTACGGTGCAGTTTCTATTTATTTTATTTTCGATTTTCGAAAATTCGGAAACAATTTTCACATAAATTCAAATGTTGCTTATGGTGAAAGTTAGCAAATGCCATTCATGACAGTGTTTGATCACAAACATGGGTTACTGTGCATAGGATGTCTACATATAATCTATTCTATCAATTACTCGATCGTTTTTTTTTGAAAAAAAAAAAATTATAAAACTTCTTTTGCACTTGGATGCACGATTACCGAGGAATGTTGACTTATTTGTGATATATGACAAACCAATAGAGTACAAGACATTAAAATATGATTTCGTAATGTGTCTTTGTTGTATCCTGATGATACATTATTGGAAGGCTTTGTGCATGGGCATTAAATGATGATCTTAATGTGTGAAAAAAAAAAACTTTCCATATTTTAAATACTTGTTGTTCATATTACGAGTTCACATGTAAATAGCAAAAGGTCATGCCTTGTCGTAGTTACTGCACAAAGTTAATAGGATATTTATGTTCTGAATGACAAGATGCAATGATATAATGGATTGGAATATTTTTTATATATGCTTTGAAATAAAGTGTCGTGGAAAAGTATTATTTTCGGGCTGTTATTTGTAATGTTCGATGTGGGGAGATTTTTGGCATGAACAGAGGTCTTACCTCATCAAATTTCGTATGAAAATGCCATGACCGGTAAGAAAGCTTCACTGTGATCTCTTTTTGGGTTTAACTTTGTGTAAGTTAAATAGTAAATTAAATCGGATTTGATTTCTATTTGTGTAATAGAAATGACAAGTATGAGAAATATTTATGACATGAATATTTTGTTATATTAATTTTTATGTAGGAAATGTAATGTATTTATTGGCATTCAACTGTATATGATACACTTAATGGATTTGACGGTATATGATGGTGTTTGATATCCATTAACCCGTGACTTATAAATGTGAAAGTTTTGACTTTATGATTTAGGCAAGTGATAATTCTTGCTTAAAAATGCACTATGTGCTTTGATGGATATAAAAGTCTTATATCTAGTGAAATATTTGATACTATGTGAACTCAAAAGAGCTATCTTAGTGATGGCATGATCAAGGTCAATGGATAACTTTGAATATTGTAAATGACATGATAATTGTATATTATCTTATGGTTAAATTGGATTTATCATTTGATATATGTTAATGTTCAGTAAGAAAGTTAAAGGCATTATAGAGCGATCGAGGGGAAGATTATAATGACCCTTGGATGAGTTCAGTTTGGAGTGTGATATCATATAACAAATGATTGCTCCTTATGCTTCACAATCCAATGAGATTGCTGAGAAAAAAGACCCAGACATTAAATGATATGATCTTGTTGATGTCTGGTTTGTGGGGAAAAGTCATTTAATGACAAATTATATAATCAGTAAAGTATCCCACAAGAAAATTAAGAACACCTCCTATGAAATATGGAAAGGTAGGGAGCCTACCTTGAATTATCTTGAAGTGTAGGGGTGTTTGACAAAGAGCATACCATACGACATATGGAAAGGAAAGAAGCCATCCCTGAAATACTTTAGAGTGTGGGGGTGTTTGGCTAAGGTTGCGGTTCCTAAACCTAAAAGGTTGAAAATCGGACCTAAAATCGTGGATTATATATTCATCAGTTATGCACTTAATAGTAGTGCTTATCGGTTTCTAGTGTATAAATCTGATGTCTCAGATATACATGCTAATACGGTTATTGAGTCAAAGGAAGTTACTTGCTTTGAAGACGTATTTCCGTATAAGAGGATACCTGAATCAAGTGGTAATAATGATGATTAGGTTGTGATACCTCAGGATGCTACAACTGATACTGATCATGTAGAGGATGTAGAAGATGAACCTAGACGTAGCAAGAGGCAAAGGACCGCCACATCCTTTGGACCTAATTTTATGACATATCTATTAGAAAATGAGCCTCGAACGTATAAGGAAGTTATAACGTCCCTGGAAGGACCATTCTGGGAAGGGGCTATCAATAGTGAGATAGAGTCTATCTTGTCCAACCACACTTGGGAATTGGTAAACCTTCCTCCTGGCAATAAGCCTTTAGGAAGTAAGTGGGTTTTCAAAAGAAAAATGAAAGAGAATGACACTATTGATAAATATAAAGCAAGGCTTGTGGTAAAAGGCTACAGGCAACGTGAAGGTCTCGATTATTTCGATACTTATTCACCGGTTACAAGGATCACATCCATTAGGATGTTGATCGCAGTAGCTGCACTGAATGGTTTACAAATACATCAAATGGATGTTAAGACCGCCTTCTTAAACGGCGACCTATAAGAAGAGATATATTTAGAACAACCTGAAGGTTTTGTTGTTCCAGGACTAGAACGGAAAGTTTGTTGCTTAATAAAATCCCTTTACGGGTTAAAGCAAGCTCCAAAACAATGACATGAGAAATTTGACAAAGTTATGTTGTCAAAAGGATTTCGAATTAATGAATGTGACAAATGTGTCTATGTTCGAAATACTGAAAAAGGTTTTGCCATTGTCTATCTTTATGTAGACGACATGTTAATCATGGGTAGTAATAATCAAATGATTAATGCTACTAAACAATTACTTAAAAGTAAGTTTGATATGAAAGATATGGGGATAGCAGACGTTATCCTAGGTATTAA